AGAGAGAGAGAGAGAGAGAGAGAGAGAGAGAGAGAGAGAGAGAGAGAGAGAGATTATACTCTCTGGGAAAATTTTCTTCAGGCGCAAAGAAAATAACAATGATGATAAAAATCGCTGTAAATTATACAAAACAAAAAAGAAAGAAAAAGAAAAGTGAACAGAAATGCACAAATTATTTGAGCCTCGATGTGAACAGAGAGAGAGAAAGAATTTTTCATTCGACGACGAATAAGTGAGTAATAAGCTCCCGACGAGAGCAGATGCGAAGGCAATTACAAGCCGCGAGCATCTCGTGCCCGGATGAATCGGTCTGGCGACACTTCGGCCGTGAAAGCGGTTGCATTCGGTGGCGGTCGCGCGTCTGCCAAGAACCCGGACCGAAATTAAGTCGGATACATCGCGCCGTTATCGTTAATAACGTCAAGCACGCACAGACACGCACGCACGGACTACGTACACCGGCGAGATGAGATTATCTGGATTACATGCGAATGTAGAAGTCGGTATCGACGATGACGCGAGCTCCCTGTGACGCGCGTACGTGCTAATATCCTGCGGAGATGCGAAATGCCGCACGTGGCATCCGTCTCAGCGCGACGCGTTACATAACGGCGGCTATACCGCGAATCGATATCGCCGTACGATGTTATGATAAGGAAAAAAACTGCCCCGCGTTTTATATCTGTTACGTGTTATCCGAGGTAACGTTACGAGTTAGATTGAATTGAACTTTTGCGTGATTCTTTTATGCACGTCTGCACGTCTGTATCCAGGTGGACATACAAAATGCCTAAACGATGTCTCTGAATGAAAGCATTTGGATTTTTTATAATTTCTAGCGATAATAATTTTCAATACAGAACAAAATTCTTTCTATCCTTTTTGAAATTTTCAACATGGAACAAAATTCTTTCTATCCCTTTTGAAATTTTCAATATAGAACAAAATTTTTTCTATTACTTTTGGGATAGAAAGATTTGGAAAATTTCAAATCATCTGAACACTTTGTACTCTAGAAATTAATTCATTCTTTTTGTAGAATTGCTATAGTGTGACGAATGCAATATCGATCATATTAATACTTGTAAGAAATCATGAATTATTCATAAGGTTCCTTGAGCTGTTTTGAATAATTAGCATATATGAGACAATATAAGAAGAATAAGTTTAATAAGATATAAGACAATAGAATATAAGAGGTATAAGCCTGTTGACACCATCATTTATTTCACGTCAGAACAAATATCCAAGCAATGGTACGTTAATGTGATAGAATTTTTCGCCTGTTAAATATCTGTGAACCGACATTCAGTTGATTTACTTTTTACGCAGAAAAATAGTCCAATCTTTAATTTATGTATTAATTCTTTTTTTATTAAATTTTATGTAATATTCTCTGATAATGTGTGATCTTAATGAGTCAAAAAATTTTGATTTTACTTTCGACTTCAACATTCTATTTGACTATTTTGATATTTTGAAGCCAATATTAACCTCTCTTGATTCTGTTTAACTTTTCTGGGAGATCCACTTTAGAACCTACAAGTGGCATTTTGTATATTTTCTGCCATTTAAAGTACGAATTCAATTTCTATGTGTATTAAATATACACTGAACCTCTCTCTTTAAGATATATAGATGTTTGAAAGTTAATGTCGAAAGTAAGACTAAAACTTTGACTTGGATAAACAGGACAGTCGGATTAATAGGAGGTTTCACGAATATTTTTCAAAGAAATTAATATAGGATTTTGATCATACTATTTATCATTGTTTTAAGTATGAAAATATAATTTGAAAAAAGAAATTGAAATCTTCTGTTCAGGTTTTCTGTGTTGAACGTCGAACTGGTAGACAACATTACAGTCCGTGTAATACTCCGTGAAACAAATAGGATCAGAAAATTTAACAACTGTGTTCAATTTGCTGAAGGATGAACCCAACTCCTTTGAAAAATTTCTAAAATTAGTTCTTTTCCCGAAACACTAAATGAAAATGAAATAATGAGGAAAAATGATTTGTAACTTTAAAGTATATTTTGTTAAATTTCGACCTTTTGCATATAATAAAGGTTCATTCTCCAGCAAACTACTTGTAAAAACCTTCTATTTTTCCGGCTACCTAAACCAAAATCTTCTCTTTTTTCTCTTAATTGCTTAGGAGTTGATATATTTATCTTATGTCATATACATTACAAGATACGTTTATTTTATATTTCAATTACACACCTGTATAAAAAGAAGCAAGTAACCTTTTTTCGAACGCATAAAAATTTCTCGCAATCCTCCTTCTTTCTGCTCAATAATGGCGGATGTGATATCTTTAGATTGCCAATTTTTACCTCATGGTTTGCCGGCAAAATCTCTGAATATCGTGAACGAGGAATTTGCGAGTGCAATTATGATTACCGTGATGCGATCGAGCGAATCGGAGCGAAACGGATGTTTCGCTCAACACATGTGGATTTTATTCTCGCTGTTATCGCGCACCACGTGATAGTTATCACCGCTGCTTCGTACTTTCAGAATACACGATAAAGCATCTACGTGAGATTAATATCCCGCACATTTGTCGATATGCGTGATAAGTTCCGCGGTTACTCAACGCGAAATATTCGCGATCAAATATTTGATCGCGAAAGAAACATCCTCAGTTTTGTGACTCTCTCTGTCTCTGTCTCTCTCTTTCTCTCTCTCTCTCTCTCTGTCTCTCTCAAGCTTCTTCCTTTTCCGTCTCATAAACATCTCAAATAACTTGAAGGAAAGCTTCTGATTTAGTTAAAAAAATAAGAAGTCTTCACGCGAATTTTTCTCAAAGAAAT